CATAAGCATTTATATAAATAAAGAAAGTCAGTATAACTTGATGACAAATGGTAGAAATTTCCAATCATCTCATACACAGCAATGTAGCTTTTAATTAGTTTTAGAATTAAGTTTGATTACTTGAATGTCAATGAAATATTTGTATATATGTTTAACAAATATGTATCTTATATTTAATCTTATATTCTATTTTCACTAATTTATATTACATATCTTAAAAATTGTTATTAATTTTAATTTATACATTTCTGAAGTATTGGAGATATATTTTTGTAGAACTAATTGTTGATTTATCCCACAAACATTTAAATAATTTGCATGTTTTTTAAGGTTAGTGGATTATTTTTATGTAATCATCTTTGTTTAACCATGTAAATAACCTTTGAAAATAATTACTTAAAATACCATGTTGGTTGAGCTTTTGCTTATATGCATTGCTAACACATCTGCTAACTTTCACATTGGGGTCAGCTGAATCTGCGGGGGCCACGTTGCACTAAATTTTCGTAGCACCACATTATTCAGCTTGTCCCATTGTGTCATGCTCGGCTGGTTTTTTGATTTTAAATCTTTTAATTAATTGATCATGTACATAAAAGAAATATTTTTCTCTGTATTTGTTTTCTAATGATACTTTTTACTAAGTTTATAATCTTATAATATTAGGTTGTTGCAGATAAAACAGTGGAATTCTTAATAAAACTTTCTATGTCTAAATTTTATTGCTAATAATAGTTATTCATGAAAGTATGATTCATCAAATTCAATATACTATAATCATTATAAAACTAGGTCATTTATGCCTTTATTAAAACATTCTGTACTCTTGGATCTAAGGAAATCCTCAAAGCATTTTTTACTGTAATTTTATTGCTAAATTGTTTTCAATTAAAATATAATCTAAGTATAAAAACATGATGGCCTGCTAGTAATAAGTCTAGGAAGTAAGGCATGTGAGAAAGAACATCATACTATAATCCATGTAGCTTTCAGGTTGTTAATTGTGAAATATAAGGCTGAGTGTTATCATAAAGTAGTGGAATACCATGCCTGTTTATCAAAACATTTCATATGCAACAATCTAATAATTGCAAAATTCACAAAGTCCTGTTATCATATTGAATTTTTTGAAACTGATTTACTTCTCTTTGTTAATACTTTATATATAAAGAAGTAAATTTACATATGTATTATTATAGTTATTTAAAGAAAGAGAACAATTAATTCAATTTTTTAATCTGTTATCATGTTACCACAATTTGTGAATAATGAAATGATATTTATTTTTGTCAGGGAAAGTGAGGGTGTTCCATCCACTGCTATTAGAGAAATATCATTATTAAAGGAACTTACACATCCAAATATTGTTCAGTTGTTTGACATAGTAGATGGTGACAACCATCTCTATCTTGTTTTTGAATTCTTGCAACAAGATTTAAAAAAGTTGTTAGATTCAGTTAAAGGAGGATTAGACCAAGCTCTTGTCAAGGTATTCTTCTAAAAAAAACAATCAAGATTTAATGTAGGTACATGCATTGTTCAAAGGCAAGTGTCTTATGTTTACAGAGCTATTTGTATCAATTATTGAAAGCAATTTCCTTCTGCCATCTACATTGCATTTTACACAGAGATCTAAAACCACAGAATCTGTTGATAGATCGGGAGGGCCATATAAAATTGGCAGATTTTGGATTAGCTAGAACATTTGGTGTTCCTGTTCGAACGTATACTCATGAAATAGTAACCCTTTGGTATAGAGCACCAGAGATACTTTTAGGAACTAAGCTATATTCCAATGCAGTAGATGTTTGGAGTTTAGGTTGTATATTTGCAGAAATGGTAATGATAATTTTCATATCCATTTAATAATTCTGCACAAAATATGGGTTATTAATATTAAAATATTATTTACTTAATTTCGATTTTAACTTTTTAAAAAAGTAACATTCCCACAGGCAACTAGGAGAGCTTTGTTCCCAGGTGATTCGGAAATAGATCAACTTTTCAGGATATTCCGCACATTAGGTACACCTGATGAAAATATTTGGCCAGGAGTGTCACAGCTACGTGATTATACATCTATGTTTCCGAGATGGGAACCGCGATGTTTAGATGAAGTTGTACCTTCTTTTGATTCTGATGCCAAAGATTTGCTTTTGGTGAGAATCACTTCAATAAAATGTAAAAATTAATAAGTTCTTTAAATTAAATTAGTCTTAATGTTATTTGTTTTAACAGAAACTTTTGACCTACGATCCCAACCAGAGGATAACAGCAAAGAAAGGATTAAATCATCCTTATTTTACTGGAGTTACATTAGTTCCACCACCACTGCCAAAGAAAACCTGATCTAGATGTATTACTTCCTAAGTTACTGTATTTTGTAGTTCGTCATTACAGCGAAAAACTGCCAATAATATTAAAATCGAGTATTTTTGAAATCATTTGCTAAAATATATTTTCAATTTGGATATACCGGAAACTTTTTTATAACAAAGATATATTTTACTGTGTACATTAAAAATACTTATACATATTTCTATTGTGTATGTCTCGTTAACATCTTTCATACTTTTAATCATTATTATTCTTTATTAATAATATACCTGGTGGGAAACATAACTTAAACCACTTCAATGATTTTAGTGAAAATTCGTTTAAACGAACGTCATCATATAATTGAAAAGGATCATATTGCACTGTTGAATTTTGTTGAATTGAACAGTGCATTGTGATTCTCTTGCAATTATATAACATTCACCTGAATCACTTTTCACTAAAATCATTATTTATAGAGCTATCCAAGCAATTCCAATTACATGCCTTACTCTGTTTATGTCTTAATATTTGTTACTAGTACACAATCCTAATTTATTGGCATGCAAATAATATATCTAACAGATTGAGAAGGTTAAATTAAAAATGTATTTCTCTATTTTGCATTATGATCAACAAAATTATATTTTGTGATGTTATATGCTGCATACTTGGAGTACTCTCCATTGAGACTACATTAACATTTAAAGTTTTTCATATATAAAAGTATAACTGTTACATTTGTGCAAACGTAATTACAAATAGAAATTCTTGACTTTTAACACAATAGAGATACTTTAAGAATATAACAGACTAAACATGTTAATGAATAGTTTTGAATGAAAATGATTTGATATTTAAAAAAAAGAAGAATTTGTAAAAATTGTTTATAAAATTAATTGCATTAAATAACAGGTTTACTGTTTTCAAGTTATTTTGTATACGTGTAGGTTATGTATAAACCATTATCAAAACAATTTTTGTGATAAAATGCAAGGTTAAAATAAAATTTTTTTAGTAAAAAGTGGGCTCGGTACAGCTTCACGCCTTCTTTCTTTTCACTACTGCTTTTTAATATTTTTTTACAATAATTTGTGTTATAATTACTTAAAACAGTTCCACATTCTTTTGTACAACCTAATAATCATTAGCTAGAAGGTGCACATGTATTACCTCAATCTTTCATTCGTACTAATTGTTTTGCTAGATTCATTGTATATTGAAAATAATCATTGAAACTTCCAGGACATTTTCAATCTTAACCTTTTAATAACTAGCAAAGGTATTCGTGAATATGCGTAAAATTTTATTTAGTGTGCAACGCGTTCGATTAATTTTGGTAAATTAATTTTAGCATGAGCTTCAGAAACTGCGGTAGTTCTCTGTGGTGTAGGAGAAGGTGCTAATTTCGGAAGCTGTAACTTTTTTGGCGATAATTTTTTAGACGTATGAGAGGAAGATTTGGACGGACTCTTTAATTGAGGACCATGGGAAGAACGTGGAGGGTTAGGCAAATTCGTTGTTTTGTGTTCCGGACTCTTTGGTGGAGGACTGTTAGGAGAACTTAAAGAAGTAGGTGATTCTGCAATTTCGACTTCCAAATCTTTTAATTCAGAATTATTAAAGGTGTGTGGAGAAATAGACGATCTCGCTGTTTTATTTTCGGGACTCTTCAATTGCAGGTTATCAAGAGAATGTGAAGCAGTAGGTGACTTTGGTATTTTGTCTTTTGTTACATTTTTATCTTCTGAATTTAAATTTCTTTTGATTTCATCTTCCACCTTTAGAATTTTAGAGGGTGATAAACCTTTTTTTAGCCCTATTGTTTCGGGAGATTTGGCCAGACTACTTCTGACTGCTTTAGGAGTTACCATAGAGGATTGTGATGACAGGTTTTGTGCCTTTGTTGGAGTAGTTGGTGGTGGTTGTGGCGAATCATCTTTTGTTTGTTCGGTAAAAGGATCGATCTCTTCGGTACTTTTAACCTGGAAAATACAGATTAATTTACTTTATTTCTTACTTTGGGCGGCGGGGACGAAAAAATTGGGGCTAAGATTAGCACACAAAATTTAATACGAAAATGATTAAAATTGATTGGGCGGTTCTCGAGATTTTATGTTGTTCAAGGTTAAGTGAGCCATCTTTCATGTAACATCCATTTCTTCTTTACTTTTTCTTCATATTGCATCTATTTTCAATTTATATTGTCTTAATCCACTTGGACAGCTCACATTACCAATTGAAATTTCATTCATTTAAATTTCTAAACACACAATTTAGAAGGAAACAAGCATATAAAAATTCTATAACGTAACAATCAAACAACAAAAAATGTTGGTAGATGTATTAACTTTTTCAAGCTTAATATCATCATGTGCTTAGAAACTATCTTGTTACAAAATGATTATTAACTGTTATTAGAAACACCAGTGAAGTATAATATACTCCATAATGTTGTTATTATTTATTTTCATTTCACATCGATAAAATTTCTTTTCATTTCGAGATTTCGTATTGCGTGCAGATTGCTTTTAATTTATAAATGCGGTGAATAATAGCGATGCTTCTGTGTCCACTGACGTGTAATACGTGAAAGTGAAGTACACGTGGTGCTTAGTAATCTACGCAATTGAAGAAAACTTACTATATATATATGTAGAATATTTGAGAATAGAAAAGTTAAAGGGTTAATTATGATAATAAAATTGTGCATTAAATGTCACTAAACGAAAGAACATAGCTTAACTTCTTTGACACCACTCCCGATCATAATCGACGACCGGTAATCCAGCGTCGATTTTAGTTAACAACAGTCGCTATGTTTGAGAATTCAGTAAAAATACCGGGAATATAAATTTAAAAAGAAAAATATTGATCGAAGTGATTACTCGATATATAATATTTCTGAATTCATTTTTGTTAAATTTTGGCTGGTTAACGAAATGAAAATATTATATTGTAATCAGTTTGAAAGTAATAAACTTATAAGTAACATATGTTTTATATTTTTTGTTCGTGTACATTGCGTGCATTCTCTAGAAATGGCACAATTGGAAGAGATGTCTCTGAAATTGTCTTCATAATTTCAATTATCCCATCTTTTCCATCGATATTTCGTTTGCTATGAATTCTGATATTTTCTTTTTCTTTTTTACACACTACAAATCAGCGGTACAATCTAATTGTTTATTCTGATGTATGCAACAAATAGAAATTACGTATTTACAATAACGATCACGAATTTATCGTGTTCCATTACTTAAATACAATATGAAATGTGTTTGATTCTATCGCGTGAATTTCATTTCTCTCAAACGATGCATTTGAACATGATAGCGTGTTACACTGGTGTTGTTCTATTGTATTTGACGTTTAAATGGGTTTTCTCTTTGCTGATCTACGCAGATGAGAGGAATTTATTCCACAGTGTAAGGTTCTTCCACAATTTTACGCTTTTGGAATAAATCGACGCTTGAAATCGTATAGTTTATGGAAGCGATATAGCGAGATCGTAAATTATTAAATTGATATTTAAAATTTCTGATTAAAAATTAACTTGCAACTGTCAACGATTAAGACGTACACAATTTTTTTTTTTTTAATATATTACAACGGAGAAAACCTCCAGTTTTTTATTTCCCTCGAATTATTATTTTCGCGCTCAGATTAGAATGTACTTTGAGGCTTGATTAATTTTACAATCTCACTATATTAGTTCCATCGACTATGCAAAAATCATTTTTATTTAACTCTAGTCTCGTTGCTTTTAAGCTCGTTTCAACAAATTTACTCAAATAAGATTTAAACATGTCTTCATTGCACTTTCGCTTTTCGATCTATAAATTAGAATTGAGCACACGATTTATGCGTAACACACACACACACCACATTGTAGTAGTTTTTCAGTAGATACATTCGTATCAAGAAAAGTGTCAATTCGACGAAAGGTATTTAAAATCATATTCGAATGAACGTTTGAAAATTAAAGTAAAAATGAGGAAAGTATAACGGTATGTTAAAATAATCCAAATTTCTATTTGCAATAATAATAAACGTCTCAAGAAGTTTTGTATAATTATTTAAAAATCTCTCGTTAAGTTAATGTTCAATAAATAGAAGTAAATCTTAAGATAAATTTTATTTTTTTTTTTATTTTTTTACATACTTATCCAGTGTTGAAACAAGTTGATTTAATTACGATGCAACGCGTTAATGAAATATGCTAGAAACTAGTATTCAAATACATTATGTCCTATGTACGGAGTGTACGTAAGATTTGTATTTGTTATTGTAAAAATGCAGCGTAAGATGAGAAACAAAAAAAAAAAGGAAAAATGAATCGAAGAATTTTTATCATGAATGTACAATTGTTGTGACAATTAGAGTAATATTTTCACTTGCATATTCTAAACCTAATGATACAGTGTGATTGAACGTATACTCCGTACATGTTTTTTTTTTTTTCTTTTAATAAATGGTGATGCACAACGATTAATTTTTTTTCGATACTTATGCGTGAAAATTTTTTTTGTTACACATAATTTCTCGACAGCGTATACTTTTTAGCTAATTGTATCATTGCTTGGCATCGGCTGTTTATTTTTAACGGACAATCATTTATTATATTTCCTTCGTTTAAATTAACATCGAGCTATTGTACTTTAAATATGATACCTGTATACATATTTCCAAATCAATTATACTTGTGCATCACCGGTATCGTTCTTGTCTTTTTAGCTCGTTACTTTGAATATCTTTTATATAAAGTATGCATCTGTCCTTTTGTTAATCCGGGAGTAGGCGAGTTCAGGTAAACCTTTAGTACTAAGTATCGTTAAGTTTCATAGATTTCAAATGTATCTTCTATAGTGACAATATAATTACAGTAATTCTTATTTATCTCTAAGTTAACTTCTTTTTTCTTTTATTCGTAATATTGTTTTCTAGGTTTTTCTTACAATCGAGTTTACATTTTGCAAATATCTCTTTTCTTTTTACGCGACGAACTGAAGTTAATTTTCTGTAAACGATGCTTGCGTTATCTATCTTTTATTTAGCTTCAAATTATGTTATTCGGACAATCGATTCTTTATATATGTATATTGAGAATTGTAATCGTTTATTATGCATACGTTAGATAGACTTACGAACGCACTGTAAAAAAGCTAGAATTAAATTGAAATAATTAGATAAATAACTCTATAAGTTAATATTACATTTAGAATTACTTATTAATTAACGGCATATTATTCTTCATTGCTACAGCACATCGAAAGGTTTCTTTTTAGCATAACTGTTTGGCTATTTACATTAAAGTTGCGTTACTTTTTCTTCTTTTCCTTTTCCTTTCCGACAGGTTTAACAAAAGTACACCTACTCTCGGCCGGTAAAGTAACAATATCGGTTTAAACAATGAGCCCAATATTATGCAATTTATACATATCTTTCATTCGTTTCTTTTATTGGCATGATAACCGTTCTTTAAACAATCGTTGAAAATTCGCTTTAACGCAAGCGTATCACGTTAACACGTTTCATTTTTCAGATTGGAAAAATGTCACCTTTTAAATGCGTTCAGCTCTTAAATGTCCCTTTATTGAAACTGCTTTGATGAATAAGATAATTGCACTGTGATAGATACAGCGATATGATTAATAATACTCGTTTAGGAAGAGTCTTGGACGCATTTTTTCAATCTGAAAAAGTGTCATGAACTTGTCTCCTTTCATTTCAACAATATCCTCTTTTAATAGCCGCGTTCCAACAGTTTTACAACATATTCTCCACCATTTCTTCGTTCATTCTCTCTTTCTCTCTCGTGACAGAACTTTCGCGATTGTAAAAACAAAAAAACTGACTGTTAATTAACGATATAATGGGTGTTTTTGCGGAGATAAATACGTTAATAGAGTAAAATCATTAGCGAGTTTTTGCAGGTAGTTCTGCCATGGTCATTTTAGACACGAACATAATTCTGTCGCACACGTTATTGATCCGTAAGGGCAAGCACGTATGAGAAAGAACACCCTTTTTGCCTCTCACCGCGCACATATTTCTCTTCGATTAAATGCCACAAGTTGGTCGAACAAAAACAAGTTTCTCCTTAATACAGAAAAAATAAAGAAAGAAGCAACTTCCGGTCGTTGATCGATAATACAAAACGATCGCGATAAGAAAAATCGAAATCGATCTGTATTGCGATTAATTGACTTAAAAAGTTGATACACTACGGAGTGTCTCACACGTTCAGATTAATTTGAACAGATTTCCTCTCGTTTCTCTGTATAATACACGTGTGTATTATTCAGACTCCGTGAAACAATCAGCGCGCTGCCCTTCGATTGAGAATGATCGCGGGGAGGAAAGAAAAGTAGGGGTGATTTAATCATACGTAAGTGAGAAGGAAATCGGATCTAGCGGTGGAGTTTTCGTGATCTAGCATTCCTGGTTGAGGTTCTCGTCCGAAGTTGGTAGACCGTTGTTGCCAGCGTCGACCGTGCCAGGAGGCACAGGGCTCTGCGGGCACAATACACAGGATTAAGGTGGCCCATTAACCTTAGCATTACAGTCTGGGTCACGTTAACCCTTTGAAGCACCCTAGCTTTTGCTTTTTTTTTTTTCACCGATCAATGTATCATTCGTCGTCTGTTTTTGTATCGACTGTTCATTCGATATGTAATTTCGGCGTTTATTTTGCAATCAATATTGCGCCAATCGCATCGTGTAACTTTTCTTTTTTTACGAAACACGCTAATAACGAGATAATTATAATTTAAAAATTGGACCAAATATATTTAGATTTTACTTTTCTCGGAAATATTTCGAACGAGTGTGCGTGTTGACAATAGGATAATTATAGTTTGATCTAAGTATTTTTGGATTTTACTTTTTTCAGAAATACTTCGACTGAGTTGAAAGTGCTTCTTTTTTTTAATTAAAATTGGCATGAAAAATTGCGAGAGTAAGTATTTGAATATTTGTTTTCGGATATGAAATTGTGGGAGAGATTTCAAGATCAAATTTGTACATCTTTATTCATAAAACAATGGCGTTTGTTAAGACGAGTTCAACGAGGTGCCGCATAAGGTCACTCAATGTAGCAGAAGGTCATGAATTAGCGAGATCCCAAGGAATTAGGTCAACCTAAATGATCGTATTACGGACTCGAAGCAGAGCACTTGCGATCAGTATCTGCTAAACTGTCTGTTCGATTGTTGCCTTTGTGACCTCCTGCTACATTGAACGACGGCACATCGTTGAACTTGTCTTAAAAATTGCTATCGTATTATGAATAAGATGTAATTTGAAAAAAAATTAAGCAAATTTTGAAATCTCCTCTATAATTTCATATTAAAAAAAAAAACAATTTATATCACAAAATGTCCCTGTTTGCACCAAACAATTTTGTTAATAACAACGGTCTACGAGATATTTCTGAGTTTTGAAGGAAAAGAAAATTACAAATTGCTATTTTGCAGAAAATTTTTGAAAATAGTTGTAAAATAATTGTAATTTATTTAGTAAATTTAATGTATTAAATATATTGAATGGTACCAGTTCAATTCAGTTGTTTCCAAGCACAACAATTATAAACTTCTTGTTTGCATTTGGAACTTCAGTAAATCTTACAGATGAACGAAGGAAAATACAATTGTTCTTGAATCCCGGTCTCGTTCGAATATGTTCTTTCTTACGTTGAATACAGCAATATTGTACAATGAAAAGTGTATGTGCAAATAAATATAAAAGCAATTAAAGTGCGCCTCAAAGGGTTAAGCGACCATCAAGTTCGTTTTAATTGCAAAATACTCAAACTTTCTTTAATCTATAGCTGTTTTTTAAGCATAATTTTACACAACTTACGACTAACAAAACAATTTCAGTTAAATAAAATTACTTTTATTGAGATTAGATTGAAAAAAATATTTCACTTTGGCACAACTCCTCGATATAACGTAAAATTATTTTATAAAATAGAAATACTGTAAAGATAATTGTCATTAAATTATTGGTACTGTTGTCGTTATACAAATTTTGAAATATGAAATAAAATGAGAGAAACAATAGATGAGTATCGTCTTATTGGTCTTTTCTTGTCATAAAAAAGAATTATATATGTATAGAAGATTGTAGAGAAGCATGCAATGCGTGTCGTCAAGCTTTTTTCGTGATAAATAGTGCAAATATAAGTGATTAGACAAAGGATCTTAAGAAAGTTGATAAAATTTCGAAATTCTACAAATAAAATAAGAAAAAGATTTTTAAAAATCCTTTTAACCGATCATTTGAATATTTTCAGTCATTTAAGAACGAAATTATAATTATCGCATGTCTTTTGAAAACGAAAATTTTTTAAATTTATCATTTTCTTTGAATATATTATACCTGGGATCCACTGCCATTCAGACTTTCTACGTTCGAACCAGTTTGTCGCAGATAATCCTTATCGTTGAATATCTTTTTGTCGCCACCCCCTGGTTTATGTTTCACATTATCCAAAGATCCAATTTTACTCTCAGCTTTGATATCGATTTTCTGTGTTTGGATCTGAAAAGAACAACAGAACGTTCGTTATTCTACAGCGATTGCAAAACACTGTAAGCATTTTCAATCGACAGCGCAAAATGTGTAACTGAAATTTTTGTAATTTATTATTAAAAGCTATGATTAACATATAAACAATCTTGATGAGAAGAACCTTACTGCTTGATAAATTTGTCTTTAACTTCAATTCTCATTGAAGGCCTTTTGCATTGTGCTTTCTGAACTAACGATTTGCTTTAGCAATAGACATGTAACTAATTTTAAAACATGCAGAAACATGCTTTAATTTTTGTCAAAAAGGAATTCACTTACTGTAAAAATAGAATATTCTAAATTTCACGAGCTTACTTCGTGTTTTTCCAAATAGTAAGTGAAAAGCGAACGAATCTTAATTTAAACGACAGTGACTTTTAAGCCCAATTGATTAGCTACTTAAAAATTTCGATCGTGTGTCCGTTAAGTTTAGCGACAATACCGGGAGAATGAACGATAAGAAAGATACATTGTAGGACAATGTGTACAGTTACCTTGAGAAAGGATAACTAAAGCTAATGTTTCATAAAGTGATTATTTGATATACTTACGTCGTTGTTTGTATCCTGTGGCGTCTTAGGTGGTGTTGTTGATGACTGAATGCCAACAAACAATAATGACTTGTTAATAGTTATGGGTGACAATACATGCGACAACAAAGGGTAATCATTCGCTTAAACCAGAGGGTTGTGTGTTTTAATCGGCGATTCACAGAGGTCCAACTGGTCCACATTTGTAAAAAGATATTTTATTATACAGATCGAGTCACCTAAATCGTTACAAATGAACATTTTCCAACAATTTCAATTTTAACATTCCAAAATTACTTTTATGTTTTTTTTTCACGAAACACTAGATTTTTCATTTTACAAAGATGATAAAGGTAACAAATTACTATTCGCTGTCCAATACTGTAAAATTCTAATTTGTATCTTGTATCGAAGTCAACATTTTTGTAATTTATGCACAACCTATCAATGTCAGGTTTACTACAATATTTTCACTATATTTGACTATAACATAGTATTTGTCGTCATTAGTGAGTAGCAACGGTAACAATAGTTACTATTATTAAATCGATTTCTTTAGCAAAAAAGAATTTCACATGTCGAAGTTGTTTGAAATCATTGAATTCGTCTTTGTACGTCTTAATTAGTGCTGTCCATGGGGAAGCCCCTTAACTACTCTTACCCTTCGAGATTTGAAAATTTCACTCTTTCTTCAAATCACTCTTTAAAACTGTGTTAAAAATGTGTAATAAAAAAGGAACAGTAAAATTGGACATGAGTAAAATTAAACATTTGAGCACTGCTCTGTATGATCACAAGGTAAAAAATACAGCATGCCATTTAAGAAAATAAGAGTAACCTTGAAATTTCAAAATTTATATCAATTCAAAAATACTTTACACACCGCAAACATGCCTCTTGTAACCATGAAAGTTCTAGCTCGATCATTTAGGAGACCTTCATTCGTCGTAATTTACGTGACTCATTTTGTATACTCAAGATTTCCCCGTATCAAGGCAAATTAGTAAAGATATTATATCGAGAATGATATAGAATATTAATAATTATTTCTGTCGAATTAAGCAGTTTACTGGTCCACATTTGTAAAAAGATATTTTATTATACAGATCGAGTCACCTAAATCGTTACAAATCAACATTTTCCAACAATTTCAATTTTAACATTCCAAAATTACTTTTATGTTTTTTTTTTCACGAAACACTAGATTTTTCATTTTACAAAGATGATAAAGGTAACAAATTACTATTCGCTAACTGTCCAATACTGTAAAATTCTAATTTGTATCTTGTATCGAAGTCAAGATTTTTGTAATTTATGCACAACCTATCAATGTCAGGTTTACTATAATATTTTCACTACATTTGACTATAACATAGTATTTGTCGTCATTAGTGAGTAGCAACGGTAACAATAGTTACTATTATTAAATCGATTTCTTTAGCAAAAAAGAATTTCACATGTCGAAGTTGTTTGAAATCATTGAATTCGTCTTTGTACGTCTTAATTAGTGCTGTCCATGGGGAAGCCCCTTAACTACTCTTACCCTTCGAGATTTGAAAATTTCACTCTTTCTTCAAATCACTCTTTAAAACTGTGTTAAAAATGTGTAATAAAAAAGGAACAGTAAAATTGGACATGAGTAAAATTAAACATTTGAGCACTGCTCTGTATGATCACAAGGTAAAAAATACAGCATGCCATTTAAGAAAATAAGAGTAACCTTGAAATTTCAAAATTTATATCAATTCAAAAATACTTTACACACCGCAAACATGCCTCTTGTAACCATGAAAGTTCTAGCTCGATCATTTAGGAGACCTTCATTCGTCGTAATTTACGTGACTCATTTTGTATACTCAAGATTTCCCCGTATCAAGGCAAATTAGTAAAGATATTATATCGAGAATGATATAGAATATTAATAATTATTTCTGTCGAATTAAGCAGTTTTGTAAAATAATAAGCATAAATATAAAGATGTGCCTTTCTTTCTTTTTGCGTTGAATTTAAATACATATGTCGTATTTATGATTTCGTTTGGATCATTAGTGTCTTAGAAGTGTGATTAAGATAATGAAAATATGAAAAATTTATTTTTCCCATTCTACTATACTTACATTAAGGAGGAGACATCGTCAATGGTATACGTAATAAAAGAAATTGACAACCTACACCGAACGAGCGATTTTAAAAAGAACATAGTTACAAAGAATAGCTTATCTCTTTTTTTTTTTTTAGAAAACTATGGTCATGAGTAGAAGAACTATGTTCGGAATTTTAAAGTTGTATGGTATGGAGCGACCATTTTTCTTGATACTAGGATTCTCGTTTTCTGTAAATTTCAAAATGCATGTAAATGCAATATCTATATTAACATTCTACATGCAACGTCTCCGTTAAACGATTTCCTAATTGATCAAACTTCCATTCTCGTGACATATAAAAGAGATGAGCACTATATATCGCTATTACAAACAGATAGATGTTCAAACGAAAAGCAAGCATTTAATTAGAGAAATGATTAATTGTCGTAATAACAAACACATGATGTCGAGAGAAGACGTAATAGATGATGTATGGTGTGAATAAATCTAAATTCAGAAAAGCACATTTAAATTTACAAATACAACTGTGTTTACAATGTATTAGCTTTGTCTAATGTTCAGCTAGGAAGATAAGAAAAATCCATACACAAGGATTATAGATACTAGTAATATTTTATTTATACTATTCTTTGAGTGAATTTACGAAAATATATTCGAAAGGGATGCAAAAGAATTTATGAGAAATTTATTTCATTAAAGAGATTATTTTCATACTTTTTACCGCATTTGACTTTTTTTTTTTTTTTTGTGAATTTTATTACCAATTGTTTTATACAGAATTTATTATATAGAATTGGATAATGTAAATGAATTTATATCTGTGTTAATAAATTATGATTAATTAAATACAAATTCATTTTTGCTACTGTAAGTCGAATGCACGAGTAATAAAGTATGAAACCATTAACTAATATATTAGATCTTTAAAATTTCAAATCTAGGTAAAGGGATCATTCAATTTATCTATGTTCCTAGAAGTATTCAACATTCCTAAAAAAAAAGATATATTTTGAAACAAAATTCTTACTTTAATGCTGCCGCCGCCAGGAACGTGTTTAGCATTGTCTTTGGAACCAACTTTCGGTTTTGCCTTGTCCTTAAAGTCAAGCTTTACTGTCTCTATCTTTTTGTCACCTCCACCAGGCTTATATGTGGCATTATCCAGTGATCCAACTTTCGGTTTTGCGTTCCATTGAAGCTTAACTTGAGCGATCTATAATAAATTTGCGGGAAATAAAAGTTTTCAGAAATGAAAGTACAGTATGATTCGTTAGATAACGGTAACATAAAGAATATAGGGCACGTCCTTGGTTTTGAGGATCACTACACCTCCTCTGTCTTCACGTGCCCTATATTCATTTGTGTACGGAGGGTTGCTCGGCTACGGGGATATTTTCAAATGTTAATAACTAAAAAACGAAGCCTCAAACGTAATTTTTTTACTTTTAACTTTTGTCTTATATCGGCTTCTAGAATCACACCCTGAATTTTCTTAAATTCTTCTAGGAAATTTTTCGTAAATTTCCATTTAAGAATGGATCATTTTATGTGCAAATATGTCTTTGCATTTGATAACGATAAACAATTATGTTCCAACATACAACGCGATCATGTTTAAAATTCAACGTTGATATTTCTGTGTTATAAATCGTTAGATAGATTTACTCGTGAATTCTTGAAGAGTTCAAGAAAATTTCGACGTATGACAAAATTTATAACTACAAAAGATAAAGAATTAAAAGGTTAACCTTTTTATCACCGCCGCTGGGTGTGTATTTTTCATTTTTTGCGGCGATCTTCGGCTGTGCTTTACTGAAGTCAAGTTTCCTATTCTCTATTTTCACTTTCCCACCACCTGGTTTGTAACTTGCATTATCCAAAGAACCGATTTTCGATCGTACTGTTTTTAGATTTGGAGAAGGCGCCGCCCCAACTTGAATTTTGTTCATAGGCAACTCTGCACGATTCAATAAAAATTATGAATAAACAATATGTTTAATACAAATATAATAATAATTTGAAATTAATATTATTTTATATTCCACTGTATTCTAAAACATAGTACAATCTTCTGACAATGAAATTTATCCAAGGGAACATCCCTAAGTGATAATCATCGATATTGATGAAACTTTGGTATATGATAGCACTTGTGTTCAGTGTTCTTGAAGCAGTGTTACGAATCTAAATTGTATAAATTGCAATTATTTAATACTTTTCGCTAAATACCATCGCAAATACATTATTTTCGTAAAATAGATTGTTCAGTTGTATGAGTCACACGTAGAAGTAAAGGGTTCGCCTCACGCTATTATTTCCTAATCTGCACATGAAACGGTTATGGTTAAAGCCTAGGTAATAGAGTTGGAAATAAAATAATACGTAAAATTGCACGTTTTAGAATGGTTAACGTGATAGGTTTCTTCCATGGTTTCCTGTATTTTTTTTGTTCGCTAAAAGATAGGCGCTATTTTTTCTACATTTTTGTATTTCGATGACGAATGCAAAAAGAAAGTAATCGATGCGATTACTGTACGCAGTGACAACATTACAGAATTTTTAATACGATATTTATGAATTTTCTGAATAAAACCGAATGTCACAAGATTCTTTCAGCTTCTAACTCAGCTTCACAGGTTCGACAGGCTACGCTGGAATCCAACATGCTTCATTGATTTTGAAGACCACTGAACTCCTCCCCTCTGCTGTGAGCTGCCCTATATTCGTCAATGCTGGGCGGATTGCTAGGTTTCAGGTTAATTTTTCTGTTCCTATTCAAAAAATGAAATGGAAAATTTTCGTCGTATAGAACCAACCCCTAAAATTTGTTCAACCTGTTGCCAAACATTCTGAGCTTCTTTGACGACAATAGAAATTATTCTAAAATTCACGGATATTGGCCATTCAAGGTCATTTTTCGTGCAGTGATCTACGATGAACGGAGGAGCACCACATTCTGAGTATTCACGCGTAATAGAATTGATCTCCTGCGGGGTGTATTGAGTTAAAGGGAATGTATCTGGACACCGTCTTTGAGAAAACTAGGCGACGATTGTTTATGCCTACCTTATTATTTATGCGTTTTGAAGGCGACGTGAGACGGTTGAGGAAAGGACAGCTAAGGCAGTCAAGCGGCATAGTAGAGGTTACCCTTCAATGGCCTTGAGCAGCTAAAATCTGTGAACACTAGAATAGTGTTCGCGTGTATACTAATTGCAAGAGACGATAGTATGATGTGGGAGCTTTCTTCCTACGTGTGACTCATACAATCTCATTCCTACAAAAACATTAACAATTTATTCTGTGAGAACGGTGCATTTGCGATCCACGGTTCCGTTTAAACCTTCTTTTCTAGAGTAATATGCACACGCAAATCGATCATCGATAAATAGACATTAGTTTTTAATGTTACAAACATTGTAATAATTCTTCACCGATCCAAGGCTAAGGTTCATCCCTAAAAGTCGTGGCTATGATTTCTTCTATGATTTTACATCAAAGGCCATTATCTCGCCAGTCGAGGAATCCAGTTTTTGTTAATTATCTTATAAACTATCGTATCTAGATTAACAACTGAATGTAAGTCGATTTTTTCATCTACGAACGAAGTTTTATCAAGATGTGAGGCTAACACTTCATGTGAATTCCTAGTAAAGCAGATTAACGTCGGTAAAAATTAGTAATTTTCATCAACAATATCTTCTGAACTATTAAGCATCGAACCATCCCCAGAATCGACTGTTATCTTTGTGTTCATCTGTCAGGATTAATCAATAGGTCTACGAATAGGTGGAGCTGCTGTTAAATTTATGTCAGAAAATGCAAAATGTTATGCACTATATTGCTTAACAAGAGGTTTTAAATTAAAATTTTAAATGAAACGATAACTTTTAATAAATGCATTTAAATAAAACTTTTCTTCATATCGTGTTAAAAGACTTTGAAGATTTAGAAATATTTTTGTTTTTCGTGTAAAACTTGAAGTGAAAAATTCAAAATTATGAGAACTAAATTAGTTGCATAAAATCTTCGACAATACTTACTCTTCTTTTCTTGGCCGCCTGTCGACGAAGGAGTGTCCGGAGTTCGTGGTAACGATTTGACCGATTTACTCGGCGATTTAATAGGTGATTCAGCTGTTGACCTCTTATCAACATCTTTTGATTTAGAAGGTGATTTTTTTGTCGGCGAATCCGCAACTCCATTTGTGGTCGGTTGCTGTGAAAATTAGTGGGCTATCTTACTAAATCATCGACTCGATAATTTGTAAAATATACACCGACAAAGGAAGATTACGATCCGGACGAGTACTTTTTGGACGGAATTGATCTCAAATTTGAATGTTCGATAGTAATAATAATATTTTTGCACGAATATAATGAAAATATTTGAAACCAATTCCGTTTGAAAAGCGCTAATGCGGTTACAATCTCCTTTCGTAAAACACATGAACGAAGATATTTACCGCATTGGATTGTGCCGATTCGTTCATTACACCGCCATTTTCAATTTCTGTAAAAACAAAAACGGAGGATACAATTTTTATAATCGACGTAACGATTTCGTAATGTTCAAATAAATACTGAAATGTGCAACAATTTTACGTAAGCAAATTGTGAAGCAAAATCTCAGTACAACGTGGTAACTCTGGAATTCTTTATAAAAAAGCATTAATAAAAATAAAACTGTAATATTCTACGTTTCTTTTTTTCTTTTTTTTCAAATCTATCTTGAATTTTATAACGTTAGTGCAGTGCCACGAATATATATTCATATTCACTATATACATTTTTTTCCTAAATTTTTCGTAAACATAAATAGGAACCTGGTATCGAAAACTTCTTTTCTGATCTTTCGTCCATTTTAGCGGGTGTTGGTACACGTTCAACTGCGGTTTTACATGTCTCCAAACGTTCAGATTCTGGCGTTTTTTTACCATCGTCTTTCTCAACCGTGACAGTCTCCTTTTTCTCATTGTCCGTTAATTTTTCTACGTCGGTAGAAGATTTCGTCAATTGCGGAGAAACGGACGATTGAGGACTTTGGGACGGTGAAACCAACGATCTTTGTTCTCCATTGTCAAATCCTTTTACACCTTCTTCCGGAGATTTTTCCGTTTTATTTCCTTCACAAGCAGCTGAATCATTGGCAGAGCTTACCACGTTCGACTCCGGAACGTTTTGCGCGTGTTTATCAGGATGTGAATTTTCCACGATATTTTCTTCACCTGCTTCCTTAGCCAAGTTTGTCGATTTATCGGTAGAGCTTGTAGACAAATCTTTCGATACTTCCTCCTGCGAAGAAAGCTTAAGATCTGTTGGTATTTTCTCCTTAGACTTTTCAGAAGATTCTGTCAATTTCGAAGATTCGTTTGATTCCAGTTCCTTCTGATTCTCATTTACTTCTGCTAACGTGCTTGTATGCGACTTCTCCGATTTCTCAGAAGACGCGTTTAATTCTTCTTCGTTTTCACTTTCCGCCATTTTCTTCGAGGAGTCTTCGCTCAATTTAACTTCTGACTTCGACTCGTGCTCATCTCGAGATTGCTTCTTTTTCTCTCGCGTTTCATTTATTTCTACTGGCGCGCTTGCTTCTAACGCGTTCACCGCTTCAGCTTCGACATTTAACTCGTCTTCATTTTCCTTCTTCTCCGTTTCTGCCGCTTTTTTCTCCTCCGACGCATTCAGAGACTTCGTTACAACTTTAGAATCCTTCTCATTTTGATTCACTTCCGCCGGTGTACTCACGGGTAACTTATCCGGAGATTTCAACGGAGCTTTCGACTCTTGCTTGTCTTCGTTCTGATCGAATTTCGGCGGCGAACTTTCCGAAGATTTCGATGAATTCTCGTCGATCTGCGAGTTAGCTAGAGATTTAGGTGACGTCTTTGGTTCTTGTTCTTTTTCGTCTTTCTTAGGCGATGTCTGTGGTTCTTCTTGTTTTTCATCTTTCATCGCATTCGTTGGTGCACTTCCTTGTAATTTTTCTGCGGGTTTCGACACCGTTTCCGGTTCTTTCTCCGTTTGATTTTCCTTCAACTGTTCCGCTGGCGTATTTACATGGGATTTGTCTGGATATTTAAACAGCGTTTGCGGTTCCTGACTGTTATCGCCATTTTGTTCTGTGGGTGGAACAGTGTCGTGTACTTTTTCTGGAGATGTTGGCGACACGTTCAATTTATGTTCATTTTCTTCTACGTCTGATTTCTCCGATTGTTTATCAGATTGTTCGGTAGATGCATTTTTACTATCCGATGTGACAGTTTTATCTTCTTTAGTGGCTGAGGTAGTTGAAGAATTTACTTCAGCCTGTGTCGAAAGTCTTCTTGCATTCTCTTTATTCAACTTCTCATTCTCATAATCTTGGTGGACAGCATCCACCAATTTCTTCGCTGACTCTTCCAGGGTTTCCACTTTGTCCAACGATGTTTCCTCCACTTTTCCCTGTGATTTCGCCGAAGATAATCTGTCGTTACATTCCTTCACATTAGAATCCTCGACAGATTTTTTGTTATTCAGATCTGCACTAATATCACTGACTTTTTCATTAGCCGCTTCCTTAGGCGCGGCAGGTTTGTCAATTTTTCCATTTATCGTCGCAGTTTCCGGCCTTTTCACCGTCTCAGTCGACTCCTGTTTCGACGATTTAGTTTCCGTTAATTCCTTTTGACAAGTGACACCGTCATTCGTACGCGGTGATTTCTTTCCATCCATCACAACGTCGTCGTCGTCGTCGTTTTCCACATTCTTCGACAACTCGATCTCCTCCTTCGAGCTGGTATTCTCAATCTGTTGATGCTTCTTCGAATCATCGACGTTGGCCATTTTGTCAACTACTGGACGTGGTAGCGCTGACTTCTTATCTTCTCTCTTAGACGGCAAACTTTGCTGAGGTATGTTCAACCACGATTCATTTCGTTTCAATTGTCTCTGTGCGATTTCCGGCGATCTGGCGAAACTCTCCAAATTGTACGCTTGCTGATGTATATCTCGTAGCTCCGGTCTCGGTTGTTGTTGACGCGTATTTGGAAACTCTAGTCTCGGTTGCTGATGCGTATTTTGCAGCAACTCCGGTCTCAGTTGTTGACGCGTATTCTGATACTCTAGCCTCGGTTGTTGAGGTCGGTGCACGTTTCCTTGGAATTGTTGCGCTTGATAGTTTCCAGGATGAGGCGGTCTAGGTCCTATCTGTAGGCCTGCACGTTGCACAGGCGACGGTGCAAAGCATGGATTCAGGACAATGGGTGAATTTGGACTTTGCTGGAGTGGCTTCCTCGGGAATGAACCTCCTGGTGGTGGTTTTATCGGTCCGTATGGTCTTTGTTGCACGAATTGACCCGTTGGACCGGATAGTCCACCTGGAGAATGACTATCGAAACGGATTTGTACTGGTGGCCGTCCTGGTCGTAGTTTCGTTACAGAGCCATTATTTACTGGCTGTCTGGGTGATCCGATTGGACCTTGTGTTCCCGTCCGAATGTCCGGTGATAATGTCGTGTTTGTTTTTACCTACGAAACAAGAATTTTACTCACAAAGATTCGCGGTGAACGCGACTTGCGCTGAAAATTTTCAGGAAGCAGTTAATCGGTATTCGATATTTATGATAATCGAACGAACTTAATTTACAGGCTTTCTAGGGTTTATCTTGCTTATCTTGTGTTCTATTCTGTATTTCAGCGGTATTTGTCGAATAAAATGACATATTTAACTGTGTTGCGCTCTTTTTTGACAATGCAAGTTGCCAGTTGTCAGTTGTCATTT